CTAAAGCACTAGTGCTTTAGAGCTTTTAATAATTTTAAAGTTTATTAGTGGATTAGCACTTGCTAAATTTATAGGCTAAATTTATAAGTACTAACGAGGTTTTTAAATGTTATTGATCAACGTTAATGCTAACAACTGAAAGTGAAAGCTGTCACTCATTTTGTTCACYWGTGTCGCTTATCCACTAGATGACATATTGACAATATACGAACTCAAATAAGGCTGTGGAATATCAATGATAAGTCGTAAGAGAGCAATATGGCAATATGTGACTCATGTTGTTTGTTGAAGAATGTTCATTGACTGGGTTATTTTAGTGCTTTAGAATTAGCTTTTGCTAAATTTTCAGTGTGTTAGTGCTTTAGAATTAGGGGACCTAAAAATGTGAGTTAGTGCTTTAGGAATAGTGGAACTAATTTTTAGATCAGTGCTGCCCACCACTGCATACGGGTCATTTTTGACCTCATCACCATAGAGGTTATTATAGTTAATAACATTAAGAAAACATAACAAATTAACTCATGAGATATGTTCTAAAACCCCTCTACTGTATAACAGTCTGATAGCATAATAAAGGACAATTTTTATAATTAATTCGCTTAAGATTCATTTCACCTTTTTTGWGTGAGAATGAAATGAAAGATGAAAAAATAAAACTACCGGATGCCACACTGAAAACGTGAAAATCCAATTATTTTTACAGAGAAGGAAACCTAACAAGCTAATCAAGAGTTATGAAACAAATTTGATGGGTTACATTTTGGACTTGAGTCAAAACTGACTCCAAACACCATGGATCGTAACAGAAAACTAACATACACTGTGAAAAATAACTTGTAAGATTTACTGAGAAAATCCTGTAAACGGTTTGCACTAATGTTTGGTAAGTAAATTTAAATGCTACAAATTCACGTAATATTTACTCTTATTCCAGAAAGGTAGGTGAGATTTTCTGAGTATCAACCAATTTTTTGACATTCACATAAAATCAAAGAAATAAAGTGTGCTGCAACTTTTTTTGAGAATAACCTGTTAAATGTGAAATTTGCTCCAATGTTTTGTTTTGTTTTTTCACAACTAAAGACGGTTTTGTTCTTTATAATCTTTTCAGTTCAACACTGCTTTCTTCTCTTTTGAACTAAGTCCAATTTCAAATGAGTCTAACTTTGATAATTGTTTCATTAAAGGCAGAAAAGGCTAAAGCTGCTGGAAACAGCTGAAGCCGAGGATGCTTCAAAGTTGCCTCGGTTGTTTTTGGAATTATTGTCATCACCCTGGTCATCTACTACAAAATAAATTAAGCGAACTGACTCAAAYCTTTCCTGAATTCAAATGAAGACGGATGGACATATTAACAAAAGTCATCCTGTGTCCTCAACTTAATCAGACAACCTGATGCCTTTACATGTTTTGTGCTTTTACAATCAGAATGCTTTCCAAAAAGGCTCTGAGTGTGCAAAATGTATGGTTCGCGATGCAAGACATGTCTACAAGCTGATTAATACAGAATCTGTTACTGGTTTATACTGGTTGTGGTTTGCAATTGGCAAAGAAAAAATTTTAAAGAAAATGAAAGTGTGAGGAGTCATGAAWAATCTGAAAAAGTGTCCAAAATAAATCTTAGGATGGGGAAAAAAGCTAATCAAATACAGTGGGGTGTGAAAGTTTGTGCAGCCTTGTTTCCTGATTTACTTTTATGAATCATTGATTGTTTGGATAAAAAAAAACAGTAAAATACATCAAATAGGTGACAAACACAGTGATATTTGAGAAGTGAAACGAAGTTTATATGTTTTACAGAAAGTGTGCAATAATTAGTTAAACAAAATTAGGCAGATGCATAAATTTGGGCACAAAAAAAATCTTAACTCAATATTTTGTAGATCCTCCTTTCACAGAAATAACAGCCTCTAAACGCTTCGCTTCCTATAGCTTCTAAAGAGAGTCTGGATTATGGATGAAGGTATTCTAAACCATGATGGTGAACAAACTTTGTTTTCAGCTCATTTGAAAGTTGTTTTGAGACTCCCACGCTGCGACTCTTCAGAGAAGATGCAAAGAGGAGAAAAACTTACAATCACCCCCCTTAATTACCCTTTCTCATAATTGGAGTCACCGTGTGTGGAGGTAAAGGGTCACTGAACTTACCAAACCAAATTTGAGTTCCAATAATTAGTTCTAAAGGTTTTGAAATCAATAAAATAACAACAGTGCCCAAACTTATTCACCTGCCTAATTTTGTTTAAACAATTGTTGCACACTTTCTGTAAATGATATAAACTTCATTTCACTTCTTTAATATCACTGTGTTCGTCCCCTATATGATATATTTTACAGATTTTTTTAAATCCAATCAATCAATGATTTATAAAGGTAAATCAGGAAAATTAACAAGACTGCCCAAACTTTCACACCCCACTGTATCTAATTTCAGAATAAGACAATGATGCCAGCCGCCAGGCCAAAGATCTATTTTGTTTGATATCAATACTAATTGAACTTTTCCTTAAAAACATACACATTTTTCTTTTTTATTTATTTATTTATTTATTTATTTATTTATTTAAATGGTGGTGAGGTTGTTAAATTTTGAAAATGACCTCATGTTCTCACTTCTTTCTTGCACCTTGCTTGGTATCAGTTATTTCTTGCATGATCACCTACAAACTAACTTTAACAAGCATCATTAAAAACATATATTTTACTGGATAAATGTTTCCACAAATCAGTCCATGYGAATGTTGTTTCACATGAAACTGGTGCAAAAAACGGTTGCGGACCATTGGTATATAATATTTACTCTGACCTGATGCTGAKTGACTGTTGAATACCTTTGTTTATGACAAATCTGATAAATATTGATTTTTGTGTTTAAGTGGGTTTTTAATGAAACCTGTGAAGCAATTTGGTCAGCAATGTTTCTTTTAAATGTGCTATATAAATAAAGTTGATATTGACAGTTTTTCATAGCACATATCTTTGCCAATTATAAAATATATTAGGTCACTCGGGCTGTTCATCTCTTCTCTCTGTGGCCTCAGAACTCTGCTCTCTCAGAAGTCCTTCAAGATGGGAGAACACGGATGTTTCTCTGTGCTTCATCTGCAGTTTCTCCGCCTCCTGCTTGTATCAACAAACACACAAAAAGATAGAAGGCTCTGGCCAACCAGAAATACATAAAATTATTTACAGCCAAAAGAAAAAAATCTTCTCAACTCACATCTTCAGACAGTAACCCTCTTACTGGTTTGTGAATCCTGTGAAGCAAAGACACAGCACGGTGGTCTGACAGAACCTCCTGTAGATCGCCCTGCATCTGAAACTGAGCAGACAAACTGGATCCTTTTTCAGATGGTGATTTGCCCAATCTGGCCTGAAAGAGCTCTCCTAGGCATTCCTGCAAAGCCTGTTGTCAAAAWAAATAAATAAATAAAAATCCATGCATGGGGCACCAAGTGCAAAAATAAATGTTTAAAAATGTCACTGTCACTAACACATTTTTGCAGATCCCACGAGGGGACGTGGGGGGATTTTTTTTCTTTTGCATTCCCATGCAATACCTTTGCATTACATCGCAATACCTTTGCGTTCCCTTGCAATACTTTTGCGTTCCCTCACAATACTTTTGCGTTACCTCGCAATATTGTTTTACGTTCCCACTCAAAATTTTGATTTGTATATGAACTGAATTAAATCAGACTTTTATTTTTGAAATATCCGGTTACCAAAACAGGATGTTTGTGGAATTGACTTTGATGTTGCGTGGCTGCACTGTGTTAAAATATCGGCATATTATGATATACTTCCATGCGTGGCTGTGTGATATATTCATTCTGAAGCTGAATTAAAGCAGTAGGCTAACTCGCTACTGGCGAACAAGTGAGTTTGTTAATAAACCAGCAGGCACAACAGTGTTTAACGACTTTTGCGAGGGAACGCAATACTTTTGCGTGGAAATGCAATAAGAAAAAAATTCCCCCATGTCCCCTCGCGGGCTCAGTACATTTTCTTTATTTAGCTCACATTCTAAGTTTAAAAAACATAGTGAAAAAAATCCACTAATTAATTTTTATTTAGCTCACTCTTCTTTCATTTTGCTACTCTTTACTAAATGTTAAGTTTAAATGTTAAATCTTTATTGCAAATGTGTTAATCTAAATGTAAACATTAAAGGTTGTGGCTAAATGTTAAAGTTTGCATATAAATATTTCAGAATGGAATGCAGTCATTGGTGCGCAACATTTGTTATGATGTCATCATCATGAGACAAGCGCAACTGCTAATGCTGCTAATGCTGCTAACACAGCTAACACTTCCCTACAAGACATCCAACTTGCAGCTGCGATTGGTACCTGAGCTGCAACTCAAGCTGCTGAATCACATGTACCATGTGTTTTGTTTTCGATGAAGAACTTTTGAATTAAAATTTTAGTAAATGCCATATTCAGCAGCGCTAGCATTTGCTTTTGTCGCAGGACGATGACGTCACAACAAAAGCCATACTCCAATAGCATATGTCAACCCCCCCGGACGTTTACCAGCATACAGTATGAGCCTCAAATATCCGTAACTTTTGCTAAAAGATCTGTACTATCTATACAACTTTACATGTATGCAAGAACAAAAGCTGTGTAACGTTCAAATCCGTAAGCTTTATCATTTAGCTACATTTAACATTTAATTATTACATTTAGATTTACAGATTTAGATTTACGATTGAACATATACAGTACAAATTGAACATTTAGTAAAAATTAGCAAAATATAAGAGCAGTGGCCTAAAAAATGTGATTTTGAACATACTATTTTACACTTGGCACCCCACATCCAATCGATAGCAAACAAATTTGTATTTACATTCATGCTGTTTTCACACCTGAAAGAAAAGCCTTTGGAAAGTGGGACTGGAGTCTGAGTTCATGTTTTTCATTCTGACATGGGACAGACAATGAATTAACATGAGAGAAAAGCCTCCGACAGACTGGAGTCTCTGACGGCGAACAAAGAGCATCTCCTCTGCTTCCTGTTGACACACAACTAAGAGTTATAACTTTGAACACAATATGTTAAATCCATTTATGCATGATTTATTATTTTTTTACAAAAACTACACTTTAACATGTCTAGAATGAAATGTCATTTAAAGATGGTGACAGAAAGCACTCTATCTTAGTTAAGAGTTTCTGTAAAACTTTCACAAACCACACAAGCATGAGAAAAAAGTTTCCAGCTCTTGGTCGTGACGGTTTGAATTCTGAACACGAGTTGAAAACTAACCACAGACTACACTTTCCAAGCCACAGAGGGGTTTTGTTTACGGCTTTCACTTACAGGAATAAAGCAACTCTAGTTCAACTTTTCCCCTCTGTCTTTTGGGACAAGTACAGATCTTCTATATGCCTTGGCATTACCAGAGAAGGAGGTGTTATATGTTTTATACATATATATAC